GATCTTATCCGCCCGCAAGCGTTGCAACGGCCCCGGTTGGTGGAGAGCGACGTTGGATTTGTGGTGAATGCCAGAAACGATGCCGTACACGTTCCGAGCTAAGGTGAGCACACGGGTTTGACCTCCATTGATCACCCCTTTACTGATAGAGCCTAGAAAACATGAATTGAAACATTCTCTTCCGTGGCACTGTGACGTTACAGGCTGCTCGCGTGAGAAAGGCTTCACTTCCAAGAACGACCTTGACAGACATAAGAGAACTGTACATAGCGACCGCACTGTTTCTGGTCGCACCTTTGTGTGTAATATTGGCAATTGTGCGAAGAAAAGTAAAATCTGGCCAAGGGCAGACAACTTTAGGTCACATTTGCAGAGAATTCATGCAAAGACATATTCAGCCAATGACGATCTCTCTGAATATGTGCATCGGTATGCCTTTTCTCCCCCTTCCTTTTTAGCCCCATACTTTCTCTGGTACCGAGAAGTTAGCTAATAAACCACAGTCCAGTTCCATCACAAGACCTCGAGGGCGTGGGAGGGAGTGCTATGGCATATCTCCAGGCACAAGAACAGTTACCTGGTCTTGCCCACCCCTCAACAATTCTGTCCTTCCGGGTGCCGTATGGTGAACGACGGGCTTCACAATCCCAATCCGGTACAAACAATCCTCCTCGAGGATCACCCTCTTTATCTTTTGATCGAGATGCATCGAGCCTTGCAACGGTACGAGAAGGTGACGAGAACTTTGTTCACCCTGACATTATCCGTGGGCGCAGTGCTCTGCCATCAAATCAATGGCCGGCATCCGCTTCTGAGGAGGATGCGCCGGGTGATGATGTCACCGCTTCTGAAGCTGAACAGCCTGACGATGATGCACCAGAAACTATGGATGGCGTGCAGCAAGGTGAAGGAACAACTACAGACGTCTCTCGCAACAGTGGGGACTCGGGAAGCCAACAGGTTGATGTCAGAATGGTTGACGCTGACGAAGCCCAACGGACTCCTAAAGCAATCCCCCCACACGAGAAAGAAAGTGAAACACCGTCCGATGTGAGCCCAGAATCAGCATACGTTGACCTTCTTGATAAAATACCAAAAGAACTCATCGCAAGCTATCTGAAGAAGCGATTCGCAGACCTCGGAGAGGAGGCCTCAAAACTAGATACAGTGAACAGCAAGAGCCAATCACATCCTCACAAATGTCAGGATTGTGACAAAGCATTTCCTCGTCTGTGCGAGCTGAAGTAAGTGTTATTATCCAACACGCCGAATATCTTGGCTAACTATTTCTAAAGAAAGCACCAGAAGAGGCATTCAAAGCCATACGGATGCACTTTTGCCGATTGTAAAAAGACATTTGGAAGCAAGAACGATTGGAAGAGACATGAATCCATTCAGCATTATCAGCTCGAGACATGGATATGTGACTGCGTCAAGCCTGATTCTGCTGAGCCTTGTGGCAAGGTTTGCTACCGCCGCGAGAGCTTCCGGAACCATCTTTCGAAGGAGCATGAGATTACAGATACCAGCAAGCTCGAAGAGAAAGTTGAAGGTTGTCGAAAGGGTCGTCACTGCGATGCTCACTTTTGGTGCGGCTTCTGTCAGGAAACTGTTGAGATTAAAGAGACGGACAACACCTGGGCGAAACGTTGCGATCACATCGACGACCATTTCTCTGGCCGTCGTGTACCCCAGAGAGACATCAGCGAGTGGATACATGAGAAGGACCACAGAGTTGTCCCCTCGGCTCCCCAGGTGGATGAGTCTGAATCCTCATCTGGATCATCCCCATGTGACCCGATATCTCCTCAGAGCAGTGTTTCCACAGAAAACAGTGGTGAAGATCGCCGAGGTAGAAAGAAGGATATGTATATGTGGACATGTGTGAGTAGACACCCGGCCCAAATGCCAATCGCAACCAGACTGACACATTCAAACAGTGTAATTGTGCCGTTGAAAACAGTTTCAGCAACAACACGTTGTGCTGCGAGTGCAACCAACGTTCGTGCAAGAACTGTACTTGGCACGCAATTCCATCTACAAGCGACAGTTAGCTTATTGTGTTCAGCGTGTCAATGTTATACTATAATCAACGGATGTTCCCTTTTCTGTTCTTATGATGCGAATGATATACCCCCGTCATGTGGCATATTTGGATATTTACAAGTTGCAAGAGTCAAAGGGTCGTTTTTGCTTGGGAAGCACTTGTATTTATAATAGAATGAAATTGATCTTATCTTCGCCTTCTGCAGCTTCCAACAAGGCTAAGGTTAGGATGTGCAGAAATCAAGAGCACGTCGATGCTTTAATGCGAGCCCCAGTCATAGCAATGCTATAGGCCCGGCAGTGGCTAGGGCAATTGTGAGATTTGCTCCTGATATATCACGAAGTGCTAGTGAGAGTCTGGTCCGGGATATTACCAAACGGCCCCGGTAGGATCAACAAAGCCAAGAAGACAGGGGCATCGGCTAACTTCGAGTGCCGTCCGCACGCTCGAATAGTGCCCTGGTGCATACGACGTATTTCCACTTTAGTTGACCACCGACTGGCATGGCGCGGACTATTGTCTCAGTTTCAAGCCACTCCAACAGGCGCCCCGGATAAGCTCCCGCGGCGTGATCAAGAGCAGCCATGAGGTCCATGTGGACGAGATGCTTCAGAGCTGAACCCGACCCACGAGTTGCCTCGTCGGACATACATTCTATGTGTGTCACAGGCGCATAATGATTCATTGACGACAAAAGGAACTATTGGTATCTGAGGGGTCAGCCAAGGTACCGCTGTGAGTTTCTGGTAGTTGCTCATTTCCCCAGGAGCCGCATTGGGTAGTCTACATCACTTGTCATGTTACACAAGGGACCAAGGGCTACTAACATGGCCCTTGCTCTCCCCACAGGGGCATGGGATTGAAATAAGTACATACATACGACAGAGTACGGAGTAGATAGGCTATCTCGCAGGGGTTACCCACGGAAGATAAGATCTGCACCACATTTGGGGGAGACACCGATCCTCCCGACGCTCGAGTGAGCCCAGACATGCATCTCAACGGCTGGTACCATCAAGTGTAATGCAGGAGCCAAAGGTCTCTGCACCATCTAGATCATCCCATGAAGCGGGATCGCCATGAGAGGGGTTCATCTCGATGGTTGTGGAATGGATGAGCCGAACGACGGAGAGTTTTGGTTCCACTATACTTGAGATAGATTTCAAAAGGCTGCTGTATCATTGGGGGCAAGTGATTTCACGTTAACAACGGCGGCTAATAGTTCAGCTTGACGTCCAACCCTGACATGTTGCATTTCCTAATTACATAGCAGTTGAGAGTGGTACAACGCTGACTGTGACTCGAGCCAGGTTGTAAAGAGGCTGAAGGACTGTATGCACTGGAGTTAACCTCAATCCACGCACTCGGTTCATCAAGTGGGATCAAGATACGAAGATGGCAGACGTAAGTTTACGTATTCGTACATACATGGCTCAAAATAGATGAACCCAACATCCAGCTCGCTGCAGCTGAAGCGAGGTACTCGATATTCATTCGGCATACAATATTACGGGACAATCCCAAGGCTCATATTGGGGGCTGTTAATACTTCGTCCATATAACATGGCCTTGCAGACATTAATCTTTGACCCAGACAGCCCCCATGGCGCGTGCATGCGAATGGAGGTGCGTGTAGCTATGGACTCAGCCCTGCTGCCGTATTGTGATGATTCATAATTGATATCTGTCATGAAGAACAAGGCCCGTACCCCCCGACCTTCCCCGGATCAGTAGTGACTTACACAGGTGTCTTCTTCCGAGTCCAGAACAGGATGATGGCCCGATGGTTTGTTCAAATTGCCGTATTTTTTGCAGAGAATCTGCTCTCGAATAAGGTTCGGCCGTACTCCCTTACTCTCCATTACATAACTTACATGGCATAGTACCGAGTAGGTGCTGGAGGAATGAGTACCTGAACAAGCATTCTCGAGATTCTGTTGTTGGACTCTTGATTATCAGACTGGAGACGGGGTGTCATTGAGGATCGATATTGACAAGGGTCTTTGTGCCAATAGAACGAGAGCTGAAAGCCAAACTCGTGCGATAAACCAGATTGGCCTGCCTCTGCCCCCATCAGTTGCACGGTATAGTGTATGTACACCAGGGTAACGTTTGTGTAAGACGGGATGGCATGGCATGGGGCGGGAACTCATAAACAGTCTAGACAGTCTAGACAGTGAAGGAGTGACAGCCAAGACCCAGGTCGGGCGAGGCAATGCTTGTAAGTCTGTTGGCTCTAGCAATCCACTAGCCTCTCTTCTAGTGCTCATTATTGGCCAAGATCTAGGCGATGGCCGCCTACTTTTTTAAGGTGCTCATATGTGTAGACTTGGCCCACAAAGGTTTAGTGCTGGAGAGACATTTCCTTGGCTCCATTAAATTAACCAACCTAACGTTTAACGCCTGTCGTCGATCCTCCAGCTCCAGCTCCAGCTCTGGCTCGAGCTGGAGGACCTCAGCCATGAGTGATTTCGTTTCTTTGGGGGTTAGGGAGGAGTTCGTCAAAACCACCACTGGAAGAAATGTTTCACGTTCTCATCGAATTCCCAAGTCGTCAACATTTCCAGCCCTGACTACCTAGGTAGGTAGACACACATGACACAGCACGTAGTTACTCGTCATGAAACGTTTCAAGGGTCATTCTTGGAAAATATTAGCCGCCACTAATCGCGATCCTCGCTCACTGACGCGGATTTTACTGGGTTTAACACTCTGCAGGCTCTCTCTAACTTGGCGGCTATCCACACTCGCGCAATGATGGCCCTAATCAGAGGTGGCCGTCACCAGGAAGAGACGTCTTGCATCAAATTGTCTCAGGCCAGTCATCAGCGTCAGCTTGCCGGAGGATTGACGATTGAGCTTTACTTTGCTTTACTTTGCTTTACTTTGCTCATCCCTGGCCTACCCATTCTCGGGCACAGACACAGTTCGTACTCTACAGGCCTATCAACATTCAACGCCGCATCGCCATCGCCATCGCCATCGCCATCGCCATCGCCATCGCATCACCGTTGCGGCTGCAAGGAATGCTTAGACTCACTCACACTGGCACGTATCCATCCACATTGGCGCAATACATATGTACAGTACTGACATGGCGGCTGAACGGGCCTTACCGTCCTGTTGCGTGGCGTTAAGCTCACTCACCCCCGTGTGCCCTGGACTAACATTACCGGCCATGGACTTGGCCGCCGATGACTGAAGACAATGTCAACATGACTTCTCTCAGCGATGCATACCCGCTGTCAGTTGGAAAATGTCTGATAGTTATTCGAATTCGAGTGCATACCGACCTGGGACAGAGTTTGGGAGATGAAATCCACCTCACCTAGCAGCTACAGCTCACAAAAGTCATCTATCTGCCGCCTCGGCCACCAGATTGGTATTTGGGCATTTTTCCTACCTACATCAAGGTACCCCTTCAACTTGTCGGCTCCGTCCCGGCTCGCACACCATCTTCTCCCAGGGGTGACAGGGCGAGGCCGGCCAGGGTCAGGTCTGGAGTCCCATGCTGCTGCAGGTCGTCCTGAAGAGTAATAGATGGGATCAGCGCAGTGCTCCACTTCCACCGATGCCTCTTCAGGCTGAGGTACGTACTTGAGGCTCTGCTCGACCAACTCAGGGAGTGCCCAATGCCCGCGTCGGCAGGACTCTCGAGATAGGCTGGCGAGACCTTCTGGCCATACAAATCTTGGGGTCTTTATAATCTATTAAGATGCCTGCCCTCGCCCTCCACCATGGCGACTCCTCTCTATTGTGGTCAACAGTCCTAGCAATCCCTTTCTGGTCAACACTTTGTGAATTTCGCTTTTTTCCATTCCTACTTATACCAAGCCTCCCATTCACCTTGGCTCCCTGAGCTTGCGCTACAGGTGACTTACACGTCCAGCGTCTTGCGTTACCAACTCGCACATTTTGCACTCATGATACACATGCCCATTCACCATTTCAGAGCTGATGGTTCTTAACTTCGGCGCTAGAACTTGAACAGCTCATTGGCACTTTCTCCTCCAGGTTTTCTTCGCTCTGAAGGCTTTGGCATACCGTGCTCTTGTTCTTCTTCTTTTCTTTCGCCGCAAAGGGCCTTGCTTGCAGTGCCTCTCTAACAAAAGGGGATCTGTTAACACCATGACTTTCCACTCACCCTATGAGAGGAACAAAGGAGCTAGGTGTTTATCCAACACACGTTATTTCTCCTATTCCAGCCCTGACTCGGTCAACCCCGAAGACTTCACCTGCCAAATTGATCCCCTTCTTCAACATATGGCACCCTATCCCAGCCACGAAGGTACCTACTGTGGCACCAACAGCATGCAGAGGTATCTGCAAGAGCCTCAGAGCAGCTACCTCATCGCTTCATCATACGTTGATATCCCAGGCACTCAATATACCGGGATTTACCCTAATATGGGTGGTCCTGCTCATCAAAATTCACAAGTCCGTCCGGGCTCTCCAATGTCCTACCAACCATCATCAGCTGCGAGTGGACCACACAGTCCCAATTGGACAGATAATGATGCACATGTCAGCACTCTAGGCCCTTCTACGCCGTCCGATGTTGCAGTCTTGTCTCCGAACATTGTTGGTTCAGGCTCTCTGTCACCTAGTGTCTCCCTTTACGGACTATCAAGTGGTCCGCAAGGATGTGTGGACCCGGCTATCATTGAACCAAGTCAACCCTTTTCTGGAATCAGAGAGGAGCAAGAGATCAATGCTTTCACCCTCGACATGAATGCTGAGTTTGACGGCGCCACTCCCAATTCCATCTACCAAGGTGATGGCTCGAGTTCTCCATCGACTTTCGACCCTTTACCTCAAGAGTTATATCCTCAACCCGATACGAAGACGGCCTACCCTGATCCTGACGACACGGATCTGGACGTAAATCTCGAAAACGAAGCTGAGACTATCCATGGCGACGATGGTGACGATGAATACAGACCCAACTGTAGAACCAAGTCACCTCGAAATGCCAAAGGTGGCAGTCGGCGGGCCCGCACCAGACGACTAAGTTCCAGCACCAATGCTAGCAGAGGAAAGGTTACCAAATCACGGCCTATTGCCCACGGTACCCCAGCGCGGAAATTACTCTCCTCATGTGAAAGCATATTGTGCATACATTGCCAGAAAGTGTTCAACGACGACGTATCATTGCAGAAACACATCAATGCCATGCATACTCGCCCTTTCATCTGCGTCTTCCATTTTGCGGGCTGTAACCACGCTTTTGCAAACAAGAATGAATGGAAAAGACATGTTTCGGCTCAGCATTTGAACCTACACTACTGGCTTTGTACAACTGGTGCCTGCGGATATCCTTCAACCCCACTGAAAGGTGTTTTGGGCACCGCTACGCATTGCAGGGTCTTTAAAAGAAAAGACCTCTATACACAACACATACGCCGTATGCACGCACCTGAAGAGGTTGCCAAGGCTGACAAGAAAAACAAGACCTTCCCTCCTGAGTGGTTAGCTCAAGAGAAGAAGTTACAGGAGGAAGCATTCCGGCAGCGTTGCAAATTGCCAGACTACATGGATTGCCCAGCTAAGGGCTGCACAACAGTCTTCAATAACGGCCATAAGACTTGGGATGATCGAATGGAGCATGTCGCTGTTCACCTTGAGCGTGCCTCAAAGAATGAGGAGCCACATGTCGTATTCGGGGGTACAAACGACGAGGCTCTCACGGAATGGGCTTCTCACCCCAACGTTCGTGTCATTGTGTCCACTAGCGGAGGTTGGGAGACATGTCAACCGCTCAAGGCGGCTAAGACAGAGTTATCAAGGCTAACCAGCGTTCATGACGAGGGCCTGGATGAGGACGCAGAAGGTGAGGAATGCTAGAAGCCATACGATTGGCTTCATGCAACCAGGGCATCATTTATCAATCTTTGTAAGTTTTGCATTTCACGAACTGGTGTCGCAAATGCGTTTTGGTATGTCTGTAATTTGGGGTCGTAATACTGAAGAGTCGCGAACAATGTATTGGGTATTTAAAGGTTTCTCCTGGCGTTTCTTCAATTATTATACCACCATCGTATATATACAACTTCTTAACTCTGGTAATTTTTGATAAGAATGGATTCATGTTCTGTCTTACACAGGTAATGGATACAAGGAAGGAATGAATGCGAGAATTAATAGTTTGGTCTGGTCGTGCTTGGTTTGCACAACGACAGAGTTGCTAATGCCAGAACATTTTCTTTTCTTCTTCAAGTTTCTCTCCACATTCCATCATCCAAACTAATCACTGAACCATTTGGGCTCCTTCGCACGAAGCGTGATGCATTGATACAGGTTGCGTTGCTATACCACGTTGGGCACGGCGTTGTTGCCGACCTTTGCATGCAAGTGCGTATCCGGGCTCATGAGCTTTACGCCATTCAATGTACTCTTCATATTTTTGCTGCTGAATTGGGTCAGGGTTTGTCGGTTTAGGAACAGGGTGTAGGCGAGGTTGATAATAACTACTTCCCGGCGTTGAGTTAAAGAGAATCTGAGGCGCTGCAGAAGTGTCCATGAAGTGACCTGATGCAACAGGATACTGTGGTAGAAGAGGACTAAGCATTGCTAGGCTCGGCGTATTGCCGAACGTTGCAGGTGTTGGCAGGATTCCAAGTCCCGGTAGCACTCCAGGAGTGAGGATATTTCGCACTGGAGGGCCACAAGCACCCCCAGGGAATCCATACTTGGCGGGCGGCGATATGTTTGATGAGTAGGCGATCTCTCCTGGGCCCTGTTTAGTTGAATCGGCTGTGCTTAACGCTGGAACGGATGTACTCTCTGTGCTGTTGGCACCAATATCTGACTGTAGTAGGGGAACAGAAACGTCGTCCATGTTATGGGATGCAGTTCTGATGGTATTTTCAACGGTGTGTTCGTTTTCATTCTCAGTTTGCTTTAGCAACATACTCTTCAGACTATCGTCTTCTGGAAAGTTGACAATTCCTAGAGTCTGTGGTACTGTCGAGAAACTTCTTTTGAATGACAGGAATTCCCTTGCCCTAGGGTTCTACCCATGTGTGAGGGCATCAGAATCAATTCGGACTCCGGAGTCATTAGATGATTCCTTATTTCTCGGGTGGTCGCTATAAAGAGAGCCAATACCGGAATCAGAGCTTTGTTGTTTAGATTGGCCCGGCTGCTGGCTTGATTTTGGGCCCCACGGATAACCATGACTGATGAAGGGCCTGTTTGTGTCTCTCTTGGTTTTTTCAGTCTCATTTTTTGACCCTTTCTGAAGCTTCTGCAGAATTTTCATGAAAGCGGCTTTTCTGCGTTCGAGTTCTTCACTCTTTCTGGTTTGCTCAGCTGGCGATGACAGGCCACTGAGTACCGTTGGTTGGGATTTTGCATGTGCGCTACCGATATTGGCAACAGCTGGGTCCTTCAGCACAGCTTGCCTGGCCTTGTCGGTCCTTTTTTTGTCGAGTTCACTCTCGTTTCCGGTCTCTGTGGGGAAAATACGGCGAGGAGTTCGACCTCTTTCCGCATTGAAGTTATCAGTTCTTTGCATAGTTGTTCGCTGTTTTCTGATCACACGTTGCACGTAGGCAATAGGAGCCTCTTGATCAATATGAGGGACTTCCGTTCTATTCTCCTGTGTGCTGGCAGCGTAAGAAGGAAGGGGTGAGACTTGAAGAACGCGGAGTTGGCGGTCTTTGCTGTGGCCACCGGCCAGGTCGACGTTAAGCTGGATAGTACAGAGTCCACTCATGGCATCAGCTGCCTGCGTATCATCATGTTCTTGGTTAGTAGAAGACACGTTTGATTCCTTGATATCAGTCTCAGAACCGCAGAGGCATGGTTGGAATTGATTGGAATTGTCAATCAAAGTCCACGGAGATATGTTTCCATTCCTCATATGGGAGATGTACCCTCCTTCTGTGCCGTTGCTGGCAACCCCGCGACCATGTGGGCTGGCTTGATTTGTGCTGTTGGTTGTGTCAGTAAGGTCAGAAGCACTGAATCCATCGCGTCGACGACGCCAGTCTGGGTTGTTCATTGCTTCAGCAAACTTTGAACTCGCGAGGTTTTCTTCCGGGTATTCTCTCCGCGAAACAGACGGTGCTGAAGACAGTTCCTCAAAAGAATCATCAGTGGTTGTGTCGATTGAAATCACGGGTTGAGCCATTCGGCCTCGAATCCTCTTTTCGAAGGCCATGCCGAAATTTGGATCTTGAGCGCCTCAATGCGTTGACCGGGGATTGTCAGATGCACCACGAATTCTAATCAAATTTGATCATGTGAAGATAGTCTGCCAACGGTTGCCAATGTTAGAAATGCCGTATGCTTCTATACAAACACAGAACAAGTGCTTGGTGTTGTATGCTAGTGATGCTTCTGCGTCTTTTCTTGACGGTCAGCAGTGCATACGTCTCGAGTTTAAGTTTGTAGCCTGTTGATTCTATTTGTCGTAATGCATTTCTTTCAGTTCATCAGAAAACCAAGGCGAGTCTCTAACCCAAAGTTGTAGCCTAGGTAGAGGAAATGTTGGGTGGTGCCTACATCGGGTGTCAGTCTCGATTCCTGTATCAGACAACCAAGATCCCAAGTTATCAAATTGAGCCGGCCGGTAAGTTTCAGGGAAACATACTTATATTGAGATACGAGTGATTCAATCGAAACTCGTAATGGGGAAACTGCGTGGACAGGCGCTTCGCGGCAAAGGTGCTAAGCTTGCCTCAGACATAGGGTGCCAAAAAGGGGAACCTGATAAGCTTCGGGTACGATCGCTGACAAGTGAATTCGCTTTTGCTCAGGCGTCTTTGCCGGAGACAATTTGTTTTAATGCTGCGTATAGCGGAATAGATTGTCCAAAAAGGGGTTTGGCTGTCTTGCAAATGAAGGCCAAGCTACCTGTGGTGGTGAAGATGGAAAACAGCAAATCCGTGGGGGGAGTCGTGAAATTACTAACTACCTTACTTTGATAGCAATGTTGAGGATGTGGAAGGCGCGATTAGAGTAATCATATACAACGAAGAAAGCACTTAAGTGCCATGCCTTTATCTGTTCTTGCTCCCCAAGAATGACTCTTTCCCTCAGACTCAAAATTCAGCTGGGTGACCAAACTAATTCAAGAAGGAGGGAACATCGACCTCCAAAACAGGCAAAAAGGTACAAAGCCTTCGTACCATAGTAGAAATCCGGAATATATGGGGAAATCTCATAGACGCATGTTTGTGAGCAGGACCAGGCAAGGTGCTTCGATACGCTGGTATTTAGGTAAGGTAGATAATTAGAGGTATCGAAAGAAGGCCAGTAACCCAGTGAAAAATTGAAAGCCCAAAATACTTCAAGAAGAATAAACACTACACAAATCATAGGCAGGCACTCGCTTTCACTTGCTCTTCATGGCTCCACGAAACAATTATCCCTGATACTGCTGCCCACCCATGAAAGCAGCAAAGGCCCTCTATAACATTGTTAGTGACAGAAAGGACCACAGACAGGAAAATTCACTCACCGAGTTCCGGGTTTGCATGTAGACCGTTCCGGGGCCAGTAAATTTACAAACCAAACCCTCTGCTGACGCAATGCCTGAGATGATACCTCCAGAGGCAACACGTTCCATTACATACTTGCAGTTCCAGGCAATCAGATGTCCGTTGTCTACGATGTACTTCTCCCCCTCGACAAGCTAGTCCATATGTTAGCCCCAGAGAACACAAGAAAACGCGTTCAAGAAACCTACTGTTTTGTGAATGATAGCACCGAAACTCGAAACCCACAACAACCCTATACCACTGATCTTATAAATCCAGAGGCCCTCGCCACTGAACATAGCTTTGCCCAATCCTTGGCTCTTGTGGTCTCTTATAACACCTTGGGTACAAGCTAGAAATGCATCGTGGCCTACGGACCAGGCTTCCTTGCCTGTAAGACGAAGGGTAGTGATATCGCCAAGGCTGTGGGGCGCAAGAAGAACCTCTCCTGGACCAATATATGTCGAACTTGACATGTCGCTTCCGGTGATCATCTTCTTCATGCTGAACTTGATTTGGCCTTTCAAAGTAACCGAGGGAGACATGGCGATCATTGCACCTGGCTTGCCAGTCATGGGGCAGCCCATTGCGAGCTGGATGGTGAGAATCGTGTTGGTGTCGCGGTGGCTAATTCGGTAGCTGCCACCATTGAATGTTCCAACGTCATCCGACGTGGCCCCTGCCCCAACGAATTGACCTGCCTCGGGTGCCCCAGACACAGTCATTGCAACTGCTGTTCCAGGCTGCTGTTCAGGCTCCTGCTTGGGCTTCTCAATGGGATATTGGTTGTCATCTAAAGGGGATACTGGCGGGGGCGGTTCAAAGTTCTGTTGGGTAGACTGGGGAGTCACTACTGGAGGAGTTGGCCCAGGCCTCATGGCCAAATTGCTCTGTTGGCCCGGCGCATGATACTGATTCTGCGGGGGCGGAGGTGTCGCCTGAGGCAGGTTGTGCTGAAAGTGCTGTTGATACGCTGGTGCCGAAGTTGGAGGAGGAGGATAGTAGCCCTGAGAGGAACTATGAGAGTGATGCTTGGCTTGTGGAGAGGGAGTCTGCTGCTGAGCCTGGGGAGGAGCCGGATAGTGAATCGGTGTCGGCTGGTGAGGAGCCTGGGGAGATGGTGTATGTTGAGGAGGAGGAGGGTAGTTCACAGCCTGTCCGGGCTGAGGTTGAGGCTGAGGCGGAGGAGGATAGAATTGTGTGCGATTAGCCGGAGGAGAGGTCGGCGGCAGAGCATATTGATGTTGCTGTTGCGGCGGTTGAGGAGCTATCCAGAGATCGTATGGTCAGCTTTGCTAAATGGTCTTTGTGGAGAGCTTTGCGAACCTGGTGAGCTTTGTGTCGCGCCAGGCGGAGCTATTGAGGTGTCATGATCAGCTTCGTTGTCATGATACAAAACTCGATGTGAACTTACGAGGATAGTAATGCTGCTGGCTCGCCATAACTAATAGGAACAATACACAGACGTAAGAATACAAGAGCTTCTGGACTGGAGGATAAAATGAAGAAGGGAAGAAAATGTTCAGACCCTGAGAGAGCCAGCCCTCTTACGACAGCTCGACCCTGTTTCCTTTAGCCGCCCGTAACATGTGCCAAGCTAGGGTAGCCCCGCATGGATATCGGGTTCCATCTACCACGATTACTTGAGTCTTGGAGTTTGATGATGGAGATACCCAGACTGAAAAAGCTACAGCACTTTGGGCAACATCCTATCATCGACGTATTTCTTGCCAAATGCCTTTCAATACTGTTTCGGCATTTGCCTGTCTCACCATCGAAACGAAACGGCCGCGTCCCAAGAGACCAAGTTCCCGCTACTCATACAACAAATGCAACACAAGCTGCAGCATGCAGGCTGTTTCATTCAAGATCATGCCCAATCACTGAGTGCCATCAAGTCATCGGCCCCTGCCTCAATGAGCTCTGTGGCCAGTTTAACGTAAGCGCCTACGCGGGGCAATAGTCAGCGCGTAGCTAGCATCTCCATGAGCCTATTGGTTTGCGAGAAAATTAGCCCGTGACTTTCTCCTCCATTCGGAAGCTCTGGGTCATGGAAGTACTGTGAATTTATTAAATCCATGGAAAAGAGTCCTAACCTCAGACTTATCAATTCGCGATTACCTATGTAGGTTATCCATCTATCACGTGGCAAGCCAATAGATTTCCTGTTCTTCGCTTGCTGTAGCGACTTTTTACACGTGATATGATTAGATACGGTTTTGACGAGAGAACCTACGCGAGACCTCAGTTTTAGATAATGGAGTTCCTGGACTAGGTAGCTTCAGATGAGCAAGTCCTAATATACTTTCATTGTTTGTTTTTGGTATCTTAGTCAGAGGCACCAAGTCTCTTTGCATACCGATCACGAAGACCTTACCTCAAGTTCCATTTGTTTACAACATGCCAAGGCTTGTTACCCGTGGTGCCCTCATTCCATCGGCATGGCCAGTTCCTGGTAGTTTCTGAGTATGTGCTTATTCCCATTGCCAAGGATATGGCGGTTTCAGCTCCTATGCATTGTGAAGTTAATAACAAGTATTTCTAAAGGTCAAACCCGCTGTTTACGCTTGTGTTTGGCTTTGGACCACAATTCGTCTTACATGCGTAGCCAGGCGTCTATAAATGACGAATATTTTATCCCGCTCTTAGGACCCCTTGGACCCTAGAGGGAATGTGTGAAGGACTTAATTTGGAGAATGATATCTTCAAAGGGACGAGATATCAGCCATGAAGCTCCACAAGTTTAGGCATGCAGCACAACAAGCCACTTATCAGAGCCTTCAGCTTGGTAAGCGATCATGTTAAGGGTACCAACTGATGAAATCATCTTGAACCTAAAAGTTAATGGTCAGGGTATTGACCGGCCATACCAGATCTGACAGAGTATCGTGGAAACTGGAGGCACGATCTAAGATCGACACGGTGGAACATGCTGAAGGTTGACTCGCCCAATGACACTGAGATGGTACATGCTTGTGACGTTGATATGGCTCCATGACCCGGGAATATCATGCCCCGGTAGTGGCGTTTGTATCTGATGTGGAAGTTACCTTGTGTTTCTTGTGAACAGTTAAATTTTGGCTGACCTATAACAGGCTGCTTTGCGAAGATATCTCTTTGTCCTTCTACCCTTCTACTATGGCTGAACCACCTCCGGGTGTCCCATGGTGGCACTCCAGGCGCCACAATGCAGTGATTCCTACAAATTGGATGGACGCTCCGTTCCGTTCCGCTTTGTTTTGCAGGACATGCTCTCCTGCGGTAGCTGAAGAAGCACCATGGGCCTTTTTGGTTGACACAACAGCCTGGGGCGATTCAAAGGGACCTATGTATGTCTCTGGTTCTAGAGTGCAGCAAGGATTCTCCAGACGTTTGAACAACATGGCCCTTGCGTCGAACAAACCAACACCACCGTTGATTCCTTACGCCGCTCAACCTCTTGGCCGTTGGCTTCGACATGGCAAGGCGAGGCTGGACCAATACGGCCATAGCTAAACTTACGAGATACCCGAAAGAGAACCAAGGCGTCGTATATGTATTTTAAAGTTTGACTATCGAAAGCACTGTTGGGACCGATGCGTGTCGGAGAGACTTTGTCCCTTACTGACAGGTTTGATAACCGAAGCCCAGACGCCATTTGTGCACAAAGATGGTATTATGGCTGGTGGTGTTTCAATAGCAGCCTAGACGTTCAAGTTCGCCGAACCACTTCTCTGGCGCTGTGGATGTTAAGCTGCGGCTACTGTTGACGATAACGCTTACCAAAGTTTGGGTGCGAGGGCCACTGGAAACAGCTTGTACTAGAGAATTAACACCAGTGTATAGAATGTTAGATCGTATTACAACCTGTCAAATGAACGGCTTTCAGCCTTATGCAGGGACATCCACAAAGGATCAACATCATAGCGCAAAATCCATGTAATCTCCGTCGAGGCGAGAAGCATGCTTTCCCGTGACGTCGAAAGATCAGCACTGTTCTCGCATAAAGGTTTAGCACACCATCACCAGGGTCCAACAATATCGTCTTTGGCCAGAGAGTTCATCTCACAATTCCCCGAAGAATAGAGTAAGCATCTTTCAAGAAATCAAAACGTCACAGGAGTTTCATCGTCAAGATGGCACGCAAGATTCGAAATATCTCCATCAAGCCAGCGATGAATTTTCCCAAAGAAGGCGACTAATATGATATGTCATAAGGATAGCTGATAAGGCTCGTTCAGCAATGTGACCTACCTGCTGCCCAATTTATTCCTCTAAGCCCAGAGGCGTGAATAGTTGTCCTGTTAAGCTGAGGTCCAGGCATGGTTAATAAGAATGGTATAAAAAACCTTTGATAGTTTGACCAATCCTAAATCCAGTAAATTGCCTTCCTTTCCTGAGTCGAGAAATATCATTTTTAGAGTCATCATGGCGATCGAGATGCCAATTCCGAAAGACTTACCGCTCCCCGCTAGATAATAGAGGGATGGCGCTTTTCACAGAAACCAGCTCTCATCGAATAGAAAACTTCTGCAGGGTCTCCGGGTCAAACATTTGCACGGTATTTGCGCCCGCTATACTACAGCCAGGTCTTCCCACGGGCTGCATCGTTATATCAAGTGCTCAACTGATCTCCGCAGAACAGCCTAGCGTCGATATTCATGCCAATAAGCATAGGTGGCCTAGAACTTCCCGAGAGAGATCAGCGGGCTAAAGTGGATAGCAGATCGCAGATGAGTTTCTTCCAGATTAGCTCAAGTGGTTGATAACTTTACTTCCCAGTGCCTCCTTCTAGAGGACAGAAATCATAAGACTGGCCTCCACTAAGATCCAGCTCCCTGCCACCAATCTGATTCTGAAGTTTTGTGTCCCCCCCCCTTGCTTTCATCTTGCGCATCATCCTCCCACCCCTGTCAGACGAACGCCTCTGGTCTTGAGAAGCCTGAAAAATCAATCCTGGGTGAGACATGATCGGGCATCTTAGTCCGTGGGTCAACAGCCCGAAGCGAACTGATTTCCTTTTCCAGATGAATTGTCTAACATGTCTTATTACCGACGTAGGGGAGGAAAGAAAGTTTGGGATCTCGATCCTAAGTGATAAAATGATTTTGGGAACTTAGCATAAGCTTAGAATACCTTTTGCTGAGTTTGTTTCAACACCTTATGTCAAGGTCTGATGTTTTCTGGCTAGCGACCGTACGAGAAGCTAATCTTTTTGGATCTGAGTAACACAAAACCCGTATACCAGTAACCGTGACAGCAGCACGTGGAGTCAGTACGCCAAATCAGGAACATTGATTGCGACAGCGGCCGCTCACTTACTGTCCCTTCAGTTGCGCGAGAGGCCCAGACCTCCAACTCGTTCAGAGAATCGAGGGCGAGAGAATAGCCTAGGCCCTTGCGGGCTCATTCTAAATGTCATCTACTTCATATGTTCTTGATCATTACTAGACAGAATCCTTCGAATCGTTGGCACACCACAATCCGAGCCTTTGGATCGGGTTTGTCTATAACGGCTGCATTACTAACAACGTGGTCCGGAGATGGAGCCTATTGTGCGTATGTCGGTCGACAATACAGTAGGGCTCCAGGACCGTGTCTTTGGATCCGTCCTAGAACGCTGAGACTGGCATTGGTGTCGGTTGGCTCACAAAGGGCAAAAATAGGTCCTGTCGTTCTGGTGCCGAAGAGTGCTTTAGAAACCGCCTCATGCGTTTCGAAATGCTGACCTGCGTAGGCCCCATTTGAACCTATAAGCACGTGTTCGTCTCACCCAACATGCTTTGAGTCGTGTTGTGGAAAATGTCCATCCTTTTGCGGGAAGCTCATCCATATGTAGATATAAACTGATCAGCATACATATACCGGTCGTGATCGGTATCTGGCCATCGCGGTGCATGCAAACAGGGAATCAGCTCCTTCAAGGTGCGGTCAGTTAAGCGTACGATTTGGTACTGCTACAGCATCGGATTGCCAAGTTTGATCCTACTCCGTCACATGCCTTCATGTGATGGCTGATTATCAGCACGCCAATTCTTACATGCAAGTTCATGAGCCAGAGCCACGGATTTGGAACCTAATTAGGCCTCATCAATCCCAATTATTTTGAATTCTGGGAATCTTGCGAAACTTGATAAATAGCTGCTGGGAGGTCGCTGTTCTTCTCCTGACTCATTAATAAACACTCGGCACCGAGACGATTTATGGCTTCGGAGATTCAGCTCACAAGAGTTTAGCGCTGAGTGCTAATGGAAGCCAACAGCCAGGCTCTTCCCTGGTTCTCCGTGTTCAGGGACGTGCTAGAACTTGCGCTAACAGACACTGGATAGCACATCACTGTTTCAGGTAACTTAGTAAGGTTGCTCAAAAAGATAGGTGTTAATGAAAGTTTTCTTCTATTTTTTTATATTTTTTTTTTGAGGTTATCTTGGTTTTTGATCAAAGCGGATGATCTGTTGAGGGAACGGCGGAAGGCTGAAGATCTTGGCGGGGGTGGACCCAAGGAAATGGAAAGATGCGATTGGACGTGGAACCGGGACATTTAGTGTCTGTGTCTGCCCTACGAGGACGATGGATCTGTTGGCTATGCTAGATCGTGAGTTGAAGACGCTGGGTATTGTAGTAATTGTAACTAACAATGTAGCAGACGCCTGAGCACATGGGATCATGGATGTCTGTGCATCTCAGTGCCGTATCATGTATCACGCAGCTGCTGTCAGATAATGTACTGTTTCTGTTGTGGCATACCAGTAGGCGATAAATGCTCACGGCACAAACATTCCAAGACCTTGTCAAGAAAATAGCAACTCTAGCTGCCAGCTTTACCGTATGGAGATATGGTTGAGATGGCCTTGTTGAAACATGATCCGAGTCTCTACGATTGAGAAGTCAGAATCACCAGCCCAAGCCCAAGCAAAGTGACCTGAGCCTGGGGAGCTTAGGACTGGGTGGCACCAGCCTTTGAGATAGTTCAATTACTAGACAACGCCGAGAAATATAATCTTTTCCTGCTGAGATGATGGCGAAGGGGAGACACGGGGTGGTATGGATGGAAACAGCAACAGTTGCAAACACAGGCGGTATTATTAAAGGCTCTCCTTGGGTCGAATCCCGCGTCGTGGTGCAGGCGCTGACGCCAGTGGGCGGTCAGTACTCGAGCTGACAACCCTCAAAGACGGTCAGCCCTTTTTCATGTATGTATGATTTCAGGGGTGAGATTAAGATCGGACTGTGCAGCTATAGTTTGGACTAGGTGGTAAGATCTGCAGTACAATTCATATGTGAACGAATCATATCCACTATTTCCGACAGACTGGACAGTGATATTACCGGACAGACCGATTGACGTTCAGTTGCGAGAGCTGATTCGACTTGATTCGACTTGAGCGTGAACTGCATCGAGGCGTGCAGAGACTCCTGATAGGCTCACCCTTGGCAAAGAGGACATAAACATGGGCTGATGTGCATTTGCATCCATGTCAACCCTCGCCAACAGTGAGAGCGCCAAGGAAGGGCCAAGACTACGATGAGCGAATCGCACTTGTACGAAAGACCGGGGCTCCACTTGCACCGCAACTGGGACCACCCTAGGACACGCTGTCGGGTTTAAAGACCCGGCTGTCGGTACAACCTAGAGCAGTGGAGGAGGCTTGATTGCTCCGGCTGGGCGGTCACTGGACGGGCGTAACACCTACGCCTTCGGTAGAGACATCCATGGATGCAGACAATCTGCCAGAAACAAAGAAATACAGGCATGCATGTTACAATACGTCGACAGCCCGAGCTACATGCAGTACCCAAGGTCGTTTGTCCAGCGGTATCCAACGGGCTGTGCACTCTAATAAAACCCCCTACCATCCTGTCGGATCATTAAGCTGAATCCAGTAAAACATGACCTACCCAGAGTTAGCAACTCAGATAGTCTACTAAACCTCCGCTACCATAACAAGTACTGTACCAAGGCTAACCTTAAGGTACTAAGTCTACTACCACCACCATAGAGTAGTCCGCTCCACTGCCCACCCCAGCAATGAAGCGGCGTCAACGCCGCCTGCTCTTCTAGCGCAGCGAGGATACCTTCATATTACCTGTCCTGCCCTGGTTCCCTTTCCGTCTCTGTTCCCTCTGATCTTCCTTTCATCTATTCCCGTCTTACATCTCGTCTTTCATCTCTCAAGTTCTAGCCACTCTGTCTTCTCTTTCACTCAAACCCCATGGGGCAAGTCATCATCCCCAGCTGCCTCTAGCGATGTGCGAGCCTCACACAGGAAACCAGTGGAGAGACTCGCCTTTAGAGGCACACCAACACCAGCACCAGCACCAGCAGGACATTAATATCACTGCTTCATGCCCAAGTGCGATTACAATAATGCCACCTGAAAATGCGCGAATAGCCCGACAACCATTATCACCCCCGAGTTCACCACCCGCCTCGTCATTGATATCATCATTAACCTCTGGATGCCAATCTACTCGACCTCTTCAATCTCCATCAATTGATGTCCTTGCTTCACAACTTGGGAGCTCTTCTTTGGAACATTTCCATCACGATTCTTCCCGCTCGACTACACGGCTTCCGGAAACCGCTCTATCACTTATTTCATTACCCGACGGTGACTGCATCAATGTACAGTCGATACTCAACCATCAGGGTTCCGACATGGAGCTTGATCCCCACAAAGAAATGAAAACTACGAAATCTCGTAATTGTCATCCGAGAAACGCCCAAGAGCGTTTTGCTTGTGCTTTTGATGGACCTTTCAATCCATTTATGCCCATTACTGTTGATCCGACAACTCTTAGTGAAGGTCCGGGGGATGCCACAAGGTCAATGTACAGGCCCAATGCAAACGGCGGCTTTCAGGTAGATGAAGGATACTGTGAAGACGAGGATGATTTCTCTTGGCTTCAACCACTTGTACCACGAAGGACGACTAGTACACCCGATGGAATTAAGAAGCGCTACGAGCTTGGGTATCGAAGATCCGCTGATGCTGCAAGTCGTTGTCGCAACACCATTCACAGTGTACCTCGAATGCGACGACGCGACAAGAAGAGAAGCAGGCAACCGCAAACCCACTTTACGGCAAGCTCCGTCAGAGGCCGCTCGGATTCACAAACCTCGCAGATGGCTATCTCAACACAGTGAAGGGCCCAAATTCCTGCGGTGCTTTTTCAACATACTTTTCTTAACGGCATACATGGTGGGCGCAGGCTTCATGTTACAGAGTAGTCTTTCAAGGACGACTGACTCACGCATCACGGAGTTATACGGGTGGAGCATTTACAAGAGCGAAGCATCTGCCTTCTGAAACAAGGCCATAGATGACTGGGCAAAGGCGTTGCATTAGTTTTGGGGTCAGACAGCTTGGGACTTTTTTTTGTTTTGTTTTTAGGATCACAGCCTGGAGTTATGGTATCACGACTGGGGATATTTTGTTCTTTCATGGGCCATGTAGTGAAGAGGCGTTCAGGTTTTACATGCTTGGAAGACAGGACCAGCATGGGGCACATTATTATCTGGGGAGCTCATGACCAAAAGGCTCAAAGGTCATGGGCAGGGAAGCAAGACAAGACTGTTGCATAGTATTGTACCATGGACAAAGTCGATATCGGTATTTAGCACTGTTGTACGTTAGTAGAGCACCACACGGCGTCTGGTCTTGAGGAGCAGACGAAACTGTACCCCGTGGGATACCACGAAAGAAATCAAATAAACCGTGTATAATTCACACTGGACAAAGTGTCTGGCAGGGCGTTACTTTTTGTGTGAAGCTCTGAACCCACGAAGAATGGAAGAATGGCAAGAAGCACAAATGAATTGTGGGCCAGACTTCAATCGGACGACTTGTAAACTCTATCGAGCACGGCTGGTGAAGCCATCACCAACTGAGCTGGGCAACTATGATGCCGGCCCCGCAAACCCATGAGCGTCGTCCACTGACAAATCGTCAAGACACGTAAGCAATGTCTAGCGTGGCAGTCGGCAAAGGCGTCTTCATTTCCCACGCATCACAGTGAGGGATCTCTGCCTATCGTATGAGCGACTGTCGCATATGAATCGATTCATCGGTGCCGTCAACAGCCGCGCGCCAGATCAGCGCAAGCCTCTGGAAAGAGGTTCATCGGTCTGTGCTCGCCAATGACGCGGGTAAACGGGGGAGGGAACCAGTTCATCCAGGTACAGCGTGTCCGTAATCTAAGAGGCTTCAGACGAAGCAGAAAATTCATTTGTTTACTATTGAGAGTCATGAGGACTGGGGCGTTGATGAGGCGACGAGCTCAGACAGGCTGAAGGAGCATTCTTGACATGAGACATGAGACATTCACGGAAGAAAGATCCATGATGAAGATGTATTTGTTTTAATTGAATGTGTCGGGTGAGGGCGATGATCGATCGGAGGGGGGGGGGGCACTGAATGACAATCATAGTGGAGGGAAGACGGGCCTAGGGGGCCTAGAGCCTGTCAGATCTGATCAACCCCCCTGTATTGGATGTCATGTCAGATGCAACTATGCAATGCAACCAATTTATTTTGCCCGGGCTGCAAGGTACAGTGCACGAAGCCAGGATCAGGGCCAGGACCAGGGGCACTAGAAAGCAGCCAGGGGCTTTGTTAGTCTGAACGAGAATCAATATCAGAAACTAAAACCAAGATAGATGATGCGATGTGCTGCAAGAGGACGTAATGTGATGCGATGCTCTCGTGGGGAGATCATCGCTGGACGTCATACCGTCAATCTTTTGATCGATTCGAACGAGCTCTTAAACTCTACACTTCTGTACCTGTGTCCAGTGGAAAGCAACGCTCCGCTCATGATTAACCGGCCCAACTCAAACTTTCGCACGCTCTCTTCCCATCAACGCTCTCGTCTCCTCTCTTCTCTCGTCTCCCCTCTCGCCTCTCGCCTTCGCCCTTCCCGCCCATAAATACTAATACTAATGCTAGGCTAACGTAGGTACACCCGTAAACTCTACTTTAGCCCATCCCAGCGCCTCTACCACTTAGTCTTGGGTGGCTTCGGGCGTCCAGAGCATCACCACTTGCCGTCTCAGGAGAGCCGTATCAGTCATGACTCTTCACTCACGCTCAATCATCAACCCATGGCGAATGTGATTGATTTCCTCAAAATTGATTTCAATTATATAAACAAACACATCACTCGTTCGATTAATTAACATTTGCAACACGGAAGAGATCGTCCTCTTTAAATTCCCATTTGGAACAGACAAAGGGGGGTCAATCATCTGTCAATGACACGAGAATCTTTCTCAATGGAATGCTCCCTCATAGCCCCGTGCATTCCTCCCACTGTCGCACTCAAATCGCCCTCATCCAAGTAGCAACCCGACCCAACGGTCTCGTTGCTGCGCCAGAGTGAATTCGTAGTCCTCTCTTTCTTACTCTCATGACCCTGATTCTGATCCTGTTCATCAATATCTTGCTACTATTCTCAGCGCAGACCAACCTTGATTTTTGTCCCTGTGTCTTGCGCGTTTCTCTGGTACCCGTTGCTAGCTTGTCCGTTGCTCCATTGACTTGACTTCGGCCATCTCCACGCCTTGCCAGGTCTCGTTCGCTTACCGGCCGAGTCCCTTGTTGCTCGTCTTGAACTTTGTTTTGCTGCCTCTGACTGGCCCAGGCCTCTCGCCTCTCTTCTCACTATCGCTCAAAGACTCCTCAGGCTCCGGGTCTGGCTCCTTCTTTTCATTCCCTCCGTTGCCATTCTTTTGGCTCTCACCTCATTCATGCCATCAATCTTCACTTCCACTTCGACATCTTCGTCGTCTTCCGTAACTCTCTCAGCCAGCCCTAGGTGACTCGCTTGGCTGACCACGCCTCCATTGCATCCTCGCCCATCAGCTTCAACTACTATTGCAGAACAACAGTCTAGTATCCCAATGGCCTCTTGGACCTTGCCCTATCGGGTTGAAGCTGTCGACCGCGACCCAGGCTTCTACTGGCAGGATATCGACAATGGACCCAACGATGGATCAAACGACTTCTTCGGTCAGTTTCTCAACTTTGATGGCGAAATCCCATCTTCTATGGCCGATCCACACGGTCACAACCCATCAATGCCGGCCCTAGCCAATGGACTTATCCTCGACCATCCCGCCGAGTCTACTGCATCTGCCTCATCAGGCGTTTCAACAACTGAAGATGAGTTCGATTTCTTCTCCTGCAGTTCCCAGGTCGACGCGACAATCCCCTCTCAGCCAGCCTCATCCGCTGTCGCAAGTGCATCGCATGAGGTCGATCCTCGAAGCCTCGCACTTGCGAGTGCCGTTGGACTGACGGACGAAAAGCCTCCCCTGGTACCTCGAGTTTCCATGTCGGACCCAGAACTGCCCCGAGTTGATGGCATTTCACTACACTCTTCACCTGGAAAGCGGGTGCCTATTTCACAACCATCATCGCCAACCCCACCCAACACAATGGCCAGGAAACCCAACAAATTCGTCGAGGCACTCTCATCTACGATTCGTAAAGCCAGTAAACTTCGCAAACCGAAGAAGCTCGTTGCCATAGACCGCCCAGGCTCTCCTACCATGGACAATCCTCCCCGGGCCTTGCGACTGCAGCATCACGAATATAGCAACGGTAATGACGCATTCCCCCCATCGCCGACATGCGGGCCGGATAGCACCAACTTTGTTCATGGGTTTTGTGACGATCCCTTTAGTGAAATTCCTCAGCCGCCTCCAAACAACTCTCTCCGCTTTTTCAGCGCCAACGGAATCCACACACCAGCAGAATCCCCAGGAGTCAAGACTGAACCTGGCCTTTATCATCCCGACATGGCAGGACAGGTTCCTCAGTCAGCTTGGCAGCACCAGCAACACCCGCACTCACACCCTCATCCACACCAGCATCCCCATCCACATCCCCATCCCCATCCCCATCCCCATCCCCATCCTCATCCTCATCCTCATCCTCATCCTCATCCACACCCACAGGCCCATGTTCATCCTAACCCACACCAGCAACCTGTTACTGTTGTGGGCGCTGCACCCGAGACATGGCCCGGGCAAGAGTACATGGCTCAAAATCCTCATCAAAGCGGGTGGTGGGATCTAAATCTTTTAAACCAGAATGGCGAATATGTTGTAGCCGATCCGCAACAGCAGAAAAACGCCAGCCTCAACCTTGCCATGCATGCCCAGCATGCGGAGTTGCCGTACGAGTACCAGATCCACGATCCCAATTCGGCTGGCCTCATGATCCATATGCCACAACCGCGAAACGCCTCGGCTCCTAGTCACGACCTTTCGTTAAACACCCAGACCTACCTCCCTCCACCGCCTATCCCTCCAACATCAGAACGCCATCGTCCGCCACGAGCCCCGTCTTCTGGAGCACGACACTTGTCTTGCTCTCCAATCCGTAAGACACGCCAGCCGTCCATTCCACCCACGCCCGCCACAGCACACTCGCGCCATAGCTCGAATGGGTCCGTCGCATCAGCTCGCAGCGCCTCAGGTCGAGGTATAGTACCGGGGACTCCCACGGCAATGCGCAAGCAACGACGGTCCCGAGATGCAAGCGGCAGCAGTGGAGGTGGCAGCGAGATCGGGTTCGTCAATTTTACTCCCAGCGACGGCGGTCTCTTAATGACAGGTGTCGCGCCGAGCGGCAGTTCTAAGACCAAAGCGCGAAGAGAGCGTGAGGCGATGGAACGGAGGCGACGATTAAGTGAGGCGGCCATGAAAGCGGTGCAAGCAGCAGGTGGTGATGTCGACAAGCTGATGGAACAAGGCTTTGCATTTTAACCCCTCAAATGCAATCCAAATCGGGGCTATTGAATTTTGGTTCCTGGTTCCTGCATGAGGCCACGTATGTGGCTGTCGGGACTTGCCGCAGCGTTTCTCAAATGCGACCTCGCATTTTATGCTATCAATAAACATCTGATGATGCAGAGTTGAAAGAAGGGGTGAGGGGAAGAATATGAAATGGCACGGGAGGACTAAGGAATCAAGTGGCAGGTGTTGGTGTTGGCGGTGAGACAATCCCAATTTGCATCGGAGCTAAAGGAAGGGTGGGCGTTGAAAGGGAACATGGAAAGGGGGTATGGAGGGACCTGGAGCTTTACCTCCACGAGGCTAACAAACATTTATCACGACAACAAACGACATCTATCGCCAACTGCGACAGGCACTGACCTTTTCATTATCATAACTCTCAACGACGGTGTTTCTCAATAATCTTCTATCTCTCTTTTTTCTACCCTCTTAACTTTATCTCAAGCCTTTGCGCACTTCTTTTTGTCGGACTTGAATCGAACACGAGAGATTCTCACTCAGTCTCATCAGTCAATTAACTATATCTAGGTATCTATCTACCTTGGTCATCCCTTTGGCAATTCCTGTCAACAAGTCTTGTGGCTTTCAACGCCTACTAGTCCAGAGACATTCATGGTCTCACAAAATTCCATTTCTTTGAATTTGATCTTTTTTGCCTCGCTTGTTTGCTTGCTTACCTTATATACCATTCGTCATGTACCAATAGTCATACCACAGGACTTAGAGTAGTCTTGTTTTGCCTCTTCCTCACTATATCTTGAAGCCTCTCGTTTAAACGCAAAGCCTTGCTGTTCCGCTCAGATATGAAATAATCATTGTATTTGTACGGATGGTTGGGGAGGCTGGGTATTTGGTGTTTCCCTCTTCAACGTCCGAGGTGTTTCATGGAAGTGTGGATGAGTATTTAAGGCTTTCAATCCCTATGATGGCTGGTTTTGCATCGTCCATACTGAGCACTGAGCTTAGATACATTGGATACAGACAGTCCCCATAGATAATTACTTCCCAGCCAGCCACGGAAGTTCCAGCCACTAGAAAGGCCTTTTTCAATAGATAAATAAAGTAACGCACTTTTCATGGATTGTATTTGCACTTGAACCTCAAGCTGACTTAGGAGGCCATTAGAGGCTACTATGTTTTCCCTGGACAACAATCCGGTTATTGAAATTTTTGTTTTTTGTTTTGGGTATGAGTAATGGGAAGTCAAGCTCCCCACTGCCACAGCTTCTAAGCTGTGGCGTACTACCTCGGATATCGAACGTGAACTGGTGCCTGAGCCATCCCAATCCAGTGAAAAAAGTGCATTCCTCATCCCTTCCCGATACTGTTTATATATACAAAGCAAATACTCGTAAGAGCACTAGGGTTTCGATAATCGCCAACGCCAGGTCTCAACGCAGACGCCATCGTCATGCTTTCGACAAACCATCCAAAAAGAAATTTGAGTAGGACGAAACAAACAAGGAAAAAGAAAACACGGTCTTGGCGTGGTCAATATCGATTAATGGCTCAAGTCGGGAGCTAACTCTCATCATCCATAGCAGAAAATTCGATGTGCTAAGGCTATTGGGCCGGCTCGCTTTTGACTCAAAGCCATCAAACCCGAAGCCTTCGCTGATGATATAGGCCTCGGGTGTAAGCTTGTCATGAGATAAATGGATAGATCCTCAATTACATCGACTAGTGCTCGTATCCAGCACCACGCTGCCAAGGGCTAAAGAGGGGTCAGCATGTGCATCACTCTACTCGTCAATCGTGAAAGCTTACCTCGCATTGTTCTGTGACCTGTAACCGCCTGGGCTACTGTCACCTGCCGACCGTTGTTGAGAGAGATTGGATGTCGACTGTTGGTATGGGTTTGGTGACGCATTGCGGAAAGGGCTTGCCGGTCGCTGTCCGTCCGCAGGGAAAAGGGGCATGGCGGGGTTCACAGGAGACCGGGGAGGAACATCGCCCCGTTGAAATGATGTTTGAGACTGGTTGTTCATCTCCGCCCGCCTTCTCAAACTCTCCGACGACACCGAGTCCTCCTCATCGAGATCGAGGTGCTTGTTGCTATAACCAGCCTTGTCACCTCGGGCAGTAGCGGCAAGAGCATCAAGCTCGGTTGTGGCATTGACCTGGGTTTGAGACTTCATGAACGAGGCACGATCATCGGCCATGAACTGGTATCGTGCATCAGGATTCTTGCGGAAGAAGACCAACGCCGTTGAAACGATAAGCATGAGAAGAAGAATAAGTGCGAACGCAGCATTCAAAACGAACAACACGACACCAACGACACCAACGACAATCTTAGGCAGCCCAAACACATTAGAAAAGATGAGAAGAAAGATGGCGTTAATGAAGTTGATAGCAGCAATCGCGATGTTGAACGAGTTGGTGGGTTTGTCCATCCAGGGTCGAAGAACCGAAGCAGCAATCAAGAAACCGACCTCAATGATAATAAACCCAACTGCCTGTGCTACATCATTCTTCTGAGCCAATGCAACAAACATGGCCTTGACCACAGTGTAGACAAGGACGGGAACAATGAAGTAGTAAGCAGAAGCTCGGAATTGAACGTAGAGGAAACCCCACTTGTTGAGGGCCTGGGGATCCGAGAAGAGGATGTAGGCTGGGTTGCGGTGCATGGCAACAGAACGGCGAGCGATGCGAATGACCTTGCTGGCGCCCCAAGCGAGTGTGAAGGTCATTCCCAAGAGGAAGAAGACAGCGAGAACGACCTCAGCGGGCGAATCCTGTTGAGTGAATTCCCACAAGCAAAGGATGACCATCTGCGGGAAGCCAATGAGTGTCAGACGGAAGAGAATGCCCTTAAGGACAGTCATCCAACCGTTTCGAAATTCCAGAAACTTGTCTGGGGCCATCCACTTCTGACGAACACACAGTTCGCACACGCCCTTGAAAGCAGCAATAGCCAGACATGTGATAACCACAAAGATGCAGAAGAAAGTGAGGCCGGTCATGAACAGGTTGGTGGTTTCAATCCTAGACTTGAAAGCAACTCGCTGAATACCGTACACGATATAAGTGCCGTCCTCGGTTTGGATGTTGGCGCGCTTGGCGAGTGCCCCAGCAGCATGACCGATGGGCTCCGTGATACTTCGAGGCATCATGGCGGCACTACGCTTGAAAAGATCGATACTAGTAGAAGCAGCCTGCAAACTTCGCTTCTGAACCTCAACCGACACTTGACGAACATTGTACAGAATAGACTCGGGTGTGCCGCCGGTTGCTCGTTGATACCACGTAAAAATGTCCTGCATGAAGCCCACGCGGATGATTCCCATTGACCACTGGAAATCCTGAGTCCAAGAGGAAACGATTGGGGGGAGTCCGACGCTGGTGAGACCAAGGATGGCCTGTGCCTGGAAATAGCCAAACAAGGAAAGCGAGTTAGAGGCGACATGAGCAGCAGTGTTGGCGTGACCGACCCCGGAAACAACGGCAGAAGAAATCAGACCGAGGCCAGCAATGATGGCAGTAGCCCACTTGACACCTTTGAGATCAACTGTTTTTCCGTTGGAAAAATCAGCCTCGACGCAAGCGACGCTCTCGCCAGTGCTGGACATGTTGACATAAACACGGACGGTAGCGTCGAGATCGGGGACACTGTAGGCGATTCCGGGTACTTGTTTGAGATTTTCTTTGCCGACTGGCAAGTTGAACTTGAATGGAATTTTTCCGGAAACCATGGGACAGAGACCAGCAAGATTGATTGTACAAGGGTCTACGGTCTGTTGAAGGAACTGGTAGCCGTATGCCGAGAGTCGAATGTCGAAGATAACCTTGCCCTGGATTGATGAGGTTGCCACAGCCTTAACAAAGGCGGAGCCGTTGTTCGGTGTCAGGGCGACGTTGAAGAGCGTAGCCTTGAAACCATTGTCCTTCTGGCAACTGTTGAGCGAGTTGGAGTAAAGAATCTTCTCTCCAGAGACGGGTGAGGCCAGGGCAGCCACTGAGGCGAGAACCGCCAGTGGTTTCATGATACAAGACCACATCGTAACCACGTATCCCAGTGATGATCGGATTCGTTGTCGATCGAGTCGTTTCGTTCGGTCGATAGTTGGTTGTCGTCGTTACAAGTCCAGGGTTGTTGTTGACAGTGCACTTCCAATCCTTCCAATAGTCCAAGATTACTAGTATGAGTCAAAACAAAGCCCACGGCAGAGGTTGTCGACAAAGTATCGGCAATGGCGACGGATTATGGCTTTCCAAAGACGTGGATTTCTTCCAGATTGACTTTGAGTGGACAAATAGCGAGAGTGAGGCCGCGGCAATTGGCGTAGAATTAGGAACGGAGTAAGGCGATAATAAAGAAAGAAGTAAAGTTAATTAGCGAAAGGCCGAGGCGAGAAATCGTCTCCGCGACGAGGCGTGGCTGAAAGAGACAGCGTTTGGTCGTCTCGTCGTCGTCGATATGGGTTGGTTTTTCCCGTTGTCGTGGATGATGAATGAAATGGATTTGTTGTGTGGGGGAAGACGAGAGGGAAAAGGAAGACCAGCGGCAACAACCAAGGGGATGAGTGAGGTGGAAGGGAGAGAGGGAGGGATCGGGAACCTGGGTACCTGTAATGGCAGCGGCAACAGGAAAGCAGGTACGACCTTGCCTGGTCAGCGCTCGTAATAGCGGCAAGTACCTTTACCCAGCGAGTAAATTGATACGTACATAGGTACGTACGCGGTGCAGTCGAAGGGGGCCAGGGGGCGGGTGGCCCTTCACGAGTGCGGTGGAGCGGGGCCTGGAGGGACAGGTTTGGTTTAGCTTGGTCTTGGGCCCTGCGTGTGATGTGTGATAGGGGAGTCGTTTTGGACTTGGACAGAGACACGGCCTTGTCTCTGAAGAACCAGTTCATCTGATGAGGGTTTCCTTTACTTTGCTGGCAGCAATGGTGAAAGTGGTTTGGCAGTACTCAGCCATTGCAAGGGCGAAGCCAAAGGCCAGAAATGATAGGCTTTGTCGTATT